TCTCTCTCTCTCTCTCTCTCTCTCTCTCTCTCTCTCTCTCTCTTTCTCTATTGATTATTACACTACTTACATAGACACTGTGGTTCGTGACCGCTCCAGATGCCACCGTCGCCGCATCTTCGTTTCGTGTCACCCTTTAGCGTGTAATTTTCCTTACATTTGTAATCTGCGAGAGCGCCGTGTGTGGTTCTATTGTCCAATAACGTGATAAAGCCATTCTTCAAATCCGGCAGCGCACCGCAGTCGACGACTGCGAAAATATTCGAAAGATGACGAAAGTTGCGCGTGGCTCATATTAGCATTAAACACAAATATCTGATTCCCATGCGAATAATGTACAATGTAACAGATATCTTAAACTATTTATATGCTTATATGCGTGGAAATAAAATTCATTGTCGGTATAAAAGATGATTGTAATAAATGTCAAAAATAACCGCATAATTTTTAATTTATTATAATTTTAAATCGCAATCTGGATGTATCATACTGAGTATTATACCTTTACCATTTATACAAAACAGATCCAAGATTAGGCTATTCAATGTTAATTGCGAACCGTTTGATCCTCAATCCATGATGACGGTGATCGATAAGAGTTTAGCATTAAAAGCCGGAATAGGATCGGCGTATTTGAAAATGCGTAATGAAAATGAAGACACCAAAATAAAGAAGCCGAACGGGCGTTGACACTTTCAAGACGTCGTCGAAGAAGCCACACTCACATTTGCATGTAGGCACGTCACCGCTCCAAAATCCGGTTAGTTCGCACGTTCTGCTCTTCGATCCAACGAGCATATATCCGTCTGGACAAGCGTAATCTATCGTAGAGCCTATCGTTCTCTTGGATCCCACGATTATAGTGTTCTCCGATTTCTCGGGACTGCCACAGGTCGGTGGCCCTGCGAATAGGACGAATAGGACGTATATTTTTATTTACGAAACGGCGTCTTAATAAAACATTCTCACGTTTCCTTCTTTTTCTCGCCCAAAGCGGCGAATTTTCTGCGCGGGAGTAAACCCCAACCGGATTCTCCTCCCGCTTCACGCAAACAAAATTCCTCAACACTTACTGCTCTGACAGATCCAGTGAAGGTAATCGAGATTGCAGCCGACGTCATTCCAGAGCCAGCCGCGGCCTCCGTCCAGCACGACGCAGTTTTGCTCGCCGTTGTAGTTGTTCGGTTGGTCCTTGCCCCAGGATGGCTTCTGCACGATCTCGCCTATAATAGAGTTGACCCGCTTTACTTCTACACTCTAATTAAACTGGTATGTATCCGGTATGCATACAGTGCTCTATAATTATTTTTGAATTATAGAGTGGAATTTGAAATATAAATAATTACACATATACATATGTATCAAAAATTTACATATTATTTTACAAACAACACAAATTTCCGCAATTAAATTTTCTATTTTGAATCCTCAGGTGATCGTTTCTACCAATGTGATTATTTCGTTACATTCAATTCGCAACTTTGCAACTTATCGATCATATCGTGTAGTATTACATTGATAAATGGCTAACAACAGATAATTATTAATTAACGTGTACTGCACGTTGAAAGATGTGACTTCCTGTCGATTTCGACACGCTTATAACTTTCACGTTTTATTTATCGCCAAACGATGCCCCGGCTGCGATTTCGTAACGATTCTACTTGTGATACAATTTGTTTCGATTAACGATTACATGATACTGGATTGGCTCATCAATGCGGAACGTCGTTTTATCGAACGAAGCCCGAATACGAACTTGCAAAATCGCCCCGAAACAACGATGTCGTGTATATTCGTCGGTAATTGCCACATAATTGCCAGACAACGAATCGAAAACTGAATTATCGGATCTCACCCCGGTTACCTAACTCCGCCCTCTCGATTCGAATTCCCACGGACGATTGTTGACGCTCGGAATAATTTACCGAAATTCCGTCAACTTACCGTCCACCCATCGCCACGTTCGAACGGTGATCTGCGGTTCCTTCTGAGCCCCAATCCAAACCAACTGAGTCTTCAACTTATCCTTCCGCCTCTCTAGATTATTCAGGATAAATGTAGACGATATTCCCTACGCAACATAGACATAGATCGAGATTTAATATTTGTTGTATTGCCTATAAGAATATTAATGATCTTTCTTTATTTTTTTTTTACACAAATAGATAATTATATATATTTCTCTACTTTTAATATGGGCAGGATATTTTCGAGATTCGTACTTGTATTGATTGTAAAATCGATATAAATTTGTTCGTTTAGAAATTTTAAGAATTGTTGACATTCGATTAATATGAAAACATAATATATTGCAAGGAGACATTTATAAAAATATTGTCAAGAGACAAATTATATGTATAACCTTGAAACCGTGAACGAGATCGCCACCGCGAGTTTTGCAATAGTTCTTCGCCTCCTGGAACGAGCCGCCCTTCTTTACTATGAATTCGTAACACGTGGAATTGAAAGCAGCCAAGTCGGCGTCGGCGGGTGTGCCGGCGTGTGCGCATCTGTCTATCGAAAATTCTGCAAACATTTATGAAATATTTTATATCAAGCACACTTATCAAATCGATGCGATTGCTCTATAAACTCCACATTGTTTTCCAACTTAATTCTTTATTCTTCATTAATATATGCCTAATTAATAAAATTATTTATGATGAATGCTAATTACTAATTAGAGGAAGCTTTTTAAAGTTTAATTTTTTATGGAAGCCCTAAACTTACCGTCCGTAGCGAAAACTTCCACCTCGCAGAGGCTCAAACTACCTTCCACACCGACAAGTTGTAAAAATACGTACTGGCCTACGAGTGCCCTAGCACAGATGAAGGTCTTCGTGATGCCCTCCTCTGCGAATTCGATTTAACAACAATCGTAATTAATTTAATATCATAATATTTCCTGTGTTTCGAGAAACACACAGTTAATTTCCAATCTGAGCCTTTGAAATATATTACGAAATGTCTTAAGAATAACAGCATTTTTTTGTAACTGTAAATAGTATATGATAAAGTTATTTAAAATAGATAATAGATTTTTTGCACTTCTAAAATTACTTAAAAAAATACATAAAATGTAATAAGACTTTATAATATGAGTATAAATAAAAAACTTTTTTTTGTAGTGAAACTTTTTGATGGCATACGTGGAAAGGTGTAACGATGAAGATCTAGAATATTAGTCCTAAATGTTCTTTTGCCAACTTTTAGATTTGTAATTGTTCCAAAGCACTTACCAATAGTACCGGGGAACCAGGCACACAGAGGATTGCGCTGCAATTCAGCGCTGCTGTTGCCTACTCTTATCTCAATATCCTGAAGAGGCTGATGACCTGCCGACCAATCGATAAATCATTTCTCCGACCAACTGCGGAGAGAACGATTTCTTTGGATTTCATAAATTTTGTTAAAAGGCACTTTCTCTTTTGGAATAATAATTGTCCAAACGATTATTAATTATTTAATTTGAAGATATATTTTATTTTTATATTTGAATATATTTATTTTTTTCAAATAATAATTTCTTTCTATTAAATAACATGATATATACTTTAATGAAGCAACAAAATAATATTTAATATAAAGTATTATATTGTTTAAATTAAACAAATTCAAAAATTAGACAAATAAAATTATTAATCCAAAAAAATCTTTTTCTCTGTCCAATTATATTTAAAAAAAAAAAAAGAAATCTTATAACCGAATGATAAAAACTGAAGAAAATATTCGGGATGTTTAGTTATATTTTACTTTAAATTTCGCCTTTTCTCAATTTTTTTAGAATTAGACGTAATCTACTCGTATTTCCTTTTGAAATATAAATATTGAAATATAATTTGTTATCAGGATACATTTGAAAAATAATGCGACTGTTACACGAGTCTCGATGATCTCAAGGTCGTTTTAAATCTCGAATACATTTAATAACGCGGAAGTTTACCGCAACAGCCTCGTGTTGTCACCCTGACGACCTTAACAGAATATGGCTTGAGAAGGTCGACCTTCCACCAAGGACTGGGCTCGCTCTGGGTTTCCGTGCATCTTTTCCCATCATGTTCCGTGCCGAAGTCACCGTCATTACCATGATTCGCGTTTCCACCTCTCACGGTCGTCGATTGATTCGCCGGTTTACGAAAACCCACGTTTGTACCTGTTGCCCAATATTTATTCTACTTTACTTTTGTCATTGCGGTACTTCTCGAATAAAACTATAAAAAACCAATAAATTTAAAATTAATTCTTATTCGATTTTTATTATATGTGCCACTGCTTACGATAATTTTATTTTACGAAAACACCGTTTTCGCTTGGCACTTATTAATTGCGGTTTAGTCACGGTCGTTAAACGTTAAAGGTGGAAAACTAACAACAATGCGCTCGTTAACGCCAGGACGCATTTGACAATAACGGTAATTATCACCACTAATTATTAGTTGTCATCCGATGTGTCAGTTATCATCGCTTAGTCACTACCGTTGTTCCATTTCAATACGCGTGTATTTTTTCCGATGGTCATTTTGTCTCCAGAAATCATTTTCGGTGGCGATTTGCAACAACACGCAGCCGTTATTTCGCGGAAATGGCGCGAATCGTTCCGCTACTGTTGAACAATGACAATTGTGTTTCCTTGCGGTCGCGCTTTTTACGTTGAGAAAGTCATGGAAGCCGGAACGAAGCCGGTTTTTACGCACAACAACGTAGCAATTTATAAAAATCGATCGTCACCAATCTATGATATTATTCGTTGGATAACGCGGCAAAACTTGTAATCGAAATTTTACACATTGCGCAAATGCTTTCCTAGGAGGATGCTTTCCAAAAGCTACCATTTCTTTTCTACTGAGAAAGTTTTTTTGGATAAGCACTATTTTTTTGACAATAATACAAAACAAAATAATTTAAATATTATATTTTATTATATTTTTTTATTATTATATTTTAAATATTATATTTTAATTTTTACGATTAAACAGCCTTTTAATATTCTGGTCAAATATTTGATTTAATATTCTTGTCGAATTACATGTAAATTTTCGTCAATTCTTCAAAGCTATTAATTTTCGATCACATACATTATTATTTTCAAAATCTACAATTTGTTTCAGTATTGATGATATTTTTGGAACACCTTGTATAAATCAAGAGAAAGTGGTTTAATTGGCATTTTAAGGCAGATTAATAATTTGGTATCGTCTCCAACAAAAATGTGATGTACTCATTCGATGAGCATCCTCTCTCCCATTTATTAGGTTTGCCAATCATATTACAAAAATGATAAGAAAGGAGAAAGTCGAAAATTGCCAGATGATCGAAAACGAATGCGATTGAATGAATTATGAAGACGTACATAATTAATATAGTTAAAATATAAGTCGAGCATATATATATAAATTAAACAAGTAGGAATATAAAATGTAAAAGAATCTTTCTCTCTGTGTACGGAAATATCGATGTCCGACTTAAAGAAGGAGAGAGTGCGAATACTCACCACAAAACGGTAGGTCACCCTGCCATTTTCCTCGTGGGTTGCACACCAAGCTGCCAATTCTGAAAGAAAGTAACAGTCATCAGGCTGGAGTACCGAGTGTACATTATCGGAAATAGGGGACCGGGCTGCGGATGTCACTCTCTCTCTCTCTCTCTCTTGACATTGCGCAACTGATAACAGGTGCAGGTCGGCTCCGTTATGTGTGTTATACCGTGGAAAAACCCTTGCCGGGTCGTTGGAGCGAAAAACGTTACTTACAGCTTTCTGTATATAACCGGTGTAACAATTCATTACGAGATGGAGATGCGAGGACGTTGCGAGGTAATATACAAAAATACTTACACTTTTTTAAGCTTCGAAGAGAGAAACTCTCGGATGAAAAGAGAGCGCTCCGATTAGGTAAGTGAAGGAAAGGCTTACATAAAGGCTTTGGATTTTAGGTCTCTAAAACGAATCGTTATTCAACGATTGCACACCCATGCGTGTAATTGTAAGTGTTGGACCGCGACCATTCGCGAGGTATGCATTAACGTCACGCGCCATCGCGTGCAATACGATTAAAATTGTACACGTTTCTATTTAGTCGAATCCGAACTTTGATAGCTAAATCTAAATCGATTAATTGATTTAAGTTGACGATTTGTCGGGGAATTTTTTTTTCCAGATCGGAGAGAGGAAAAAAATAATTAATCGTCGGAATCTTCCTTATCGTATAAATCCATTGTCTCGAGTTACGAGCCGAGGAATGCGACAACGGGATTTTCAGCGTCCTGTATTTTTCTTTCGGAATTCTTCCACCGTCCCGCGCCCCCCCACCCCTCCTCCTCGTGTTTGAAAACGGAGAAAGTCAGCGGCGTATTATCGATAATCACTATTCTCTCAACGAGAAGCGTGCATTCCTTCGTTCGCTCGAAAGACGCCGCTTTGCACGCACTTCGAGAAAAACGCCCGATCGCGAGTAACACGACCGTCAATTTCCGGTCGCGTGCCCCGCCCCCCCCCCTCCTCCCCCCTCGTGGACGCCGGCAGGAAAATTAATTTTCCTTTGCGTTTGTTTCGCAAAACAAAAAACCGGTTTTCTCGCTTGCCAACTGTAGCTCTGTAGCAATCCTACGCGACAAAGGTGTACAGTTATTGTACACCTCAAGCGTTTCTTTCTTGCTCGTCACGCTACTTTTTCGAGTCGACTACTTTTTCATCTTTTTCGAAGCGAAGATAGAAGCGAGAAGCACCGCTAATTACACACATTTTTCTGAACTGCGCGTTCTTGAAGAATGTCGCAAAAAAGTGATAATCGTGAAGAGAGAGAAAATGAAGGACTAGGAATCTAATAAAGAATACATATGAAACGTAACGTAACGTAATTATTAACAGGCAGGTCTTGTCGTTTAGTTTTCGTTGAGTCAAATTAACTTTCAACGCACCGTAATTTTATTGACATGTTGATTTATCATGTCTATTTACAGTGTCGGTGTTCGGCTAATTATGACGCAATAAAATTTTTTGGGCAATACAAACGCGAAAATCGGCATAATTTAATTGAAATTTCAAAAATAATATTTCAATAGGTCTATATAAAAATCAATAATAAATCTCAAAACCTGTCGATCGCACATGTGCGACACTGTAAATACTTAAATACAGCGCTAATTAACAGTTTGTAACGGTATCACCGCAGGATACGTAAAAATTATCGAGGTTGTGCATTCCAAATTTCTGGCTCTTTTTCTGGCTCTTTTTCAAACAACTCCAGAAATTTTATCGAGAATTTAAATTTTATTACCTTTCAATTATAATCAAATTCTAAAAATAAACCAACTGTAATTCTATATCTACATTCCTTTTTTATTACTTATTACGTTTTATTCTTGTTTTTCTTATATACATAATGTATCTTGCTGACTCTTTTTCTAATTCATTCGCCGCAGGAGAACGGCACGCCTATCGAGATCGAGATTCTTTTCGGGAAAGCAATATTATCCGCAAACGCTGTATATTGGTCCTCCATAAAATCACGTCATTATCATAAATGATCCGTGAGAGGAAGCCTACCAATAAAATTGATATTAAAAGCAAATATACGTTATATCTATTGTCGTAGCTTTTAACTACGTAATATATTTATTTTTATATTACTTTAATATAGGATTATTGAAAGGGATAAATTTTTGTAGATTATCTTTAGAAATTAGTAAAAATTTAATCTGTAATTATAAAATACAATTTAGCATAAAATTAATGAAGCTTTATGATAAAGAAAATATCTCAATGAATATTTTAACTTTGATTTTTCTGAAAAATAATTATCGCTCGCTTAATAATTTTCTGAGAATCTACAATGGCCCTTCCGTTCTACTTTAGGAGTGAGTAGTAGTTTTAATATATATATCACTGAAAATACGCTTACCCAAAGAGTTCGTAGCCTGCATCGCAGGTGTATCTCGCTACGGTGCCAGCCCTCAAGGATTCATCAGACAGCGATACCTTGGCGTTCATCGGCACAGCCGGATGGCCGCACTTCAGTTCTGTAATCAACAGAATTACAAATGCTTAGTTATTTAGAAGGCAAACCGCGCGCGAGCGGCCAACGGCATCTCGCTGATAAAAAAAAAATATCGAACGGTAGGCTCGTAACCGTCCATTATGTTTGTAATTTGCAAAATCATTTACGAGAATTCCCAGCGCCTTGCGGTCGCATCCGATTCTCGTTGAGGTCGGCTCACCTCGCGTTTAAGAGCCTTCAATATCTACAGACAATTTCTTGAAAACCGCACATCTTAGTGGACATTTAATATGTAGAAATATCGCAATATCTTTCCCCATAACGCACCGATTTTCTCTTGTCGATTTTACAACACCTCTAATTAATTCGTCACAGTTAAAAGGAGATAATCGCGTATTCGCGCTGCATCTACAGGTAACTGGGACTCGATCGTTTCATTCGCTTTTCGTTAACTGTATACCGATGCAGGTCGGATGTAACGACGCCGCGATGACGCTTGCAGATTTCCGCCACGCGGACTTCCGCCGTGACTTCTATCGATCGCAATCTGCTTTTTCGCGTCCGACGGTTTCGTGACGGTTCGATCGACCGAATTTTCAGGGCATGACGCGAATCGAGTCGATTCAAGTCGTGGTTAAGATTTACCGGCTGGTCACGCACGAAGAGACAGACGGGAGTCACACTCACGATGGCAATTTAAATAATCACGAGAACCGTTACTCTCGTATCTCTCAAGGGAAGTCTCTGGAAAGAAATGCATCTGGTGTCACCGCATTCATTTAAGTCGCTGACTTGGGAAAAAAGGATTAAGTCCAAGATTCGCTACTGGCAACTCTCTGTAATCATTTCAATAAATAACAAAATGATTCTATAAAGCGCGCATCTTTAATTTTCTCTAAATTGTCCGAAACGATTATATTCTTTCTTTTTTTTTTCCTCTAATCATTTATCCGATGATGAAGAAAGAAGGAAAGAGCCGCGACTTCTCGTTCGGGCTTGTTACCTCGCGAGTGGCTCGGACGAACGTCGTAGGAACCTTGAACGGGGATCCCACGCAAATTCCATTATCTGCGATTATCCAATAGTTGTCTGACTTTCCACGCTTCGCGATTTTAGAATTAAATTCGCACGTCAATTAAACGCGACGTCAATTATTTCTTATTCTATTGTCACGATTATACTGTTCCGAAGATTATATCTCTCTCTCCTCTTTTTTTTTTTCCTCAATCTGAAGTGCAAACATGTGGTCCAAAGAGAAAGCGTACGACTTTCAGGACACCGTGTACATCACGGTTAACTAGGCGAGATATAATGCATTCCCGATTGAGA